TTTCCAGTCTTCCTTGCAGACACAGTTGCTAATGAGACATAAACAAAACTTGTGGGATGGTCTTCCTAGAAATAAGAGGAATTGATTTAGCAGCAATGCCTTTGGCATCCCTTGCCCTTTCCTTCCTGAGTGAGGCACAGATATAGCTGGAGCACCAGCAGCCATTTTGGGCCACAAGGTGGCACTGAGGATGGAAGTCATGCACCAAGGATAATGGGACAGCAAGACAAAGGAGGCTTGGTCTCTATTGGCAGAGTAGGCTATCCACCTCTGGGCTTTTTGTGAGACAAGAGAAAAAGTCCACCCTAATGGTTTAAACTCCAAGAGTCTAGTCTCTAGTAGTTTACTAACCACTGAACTGATTTCTAACTAATACAATAAGGTTTAAGATTCTTCCATGTGGCTCTTTGTCCCATCTTCTGAACTGCATTTAATATAATTGCATACAATAATTTGTATAAGTTGTCTAATATCTCCCTGGCTAGACTATAAACTCCATGAGAATAGCATCTTTGTCAGCCTTATTTGTGATATCTTTGGTATCTAACACAGTGCCATTATAAACTCAGAAAATATTTGTTCAATGAATAAATAGAACCAGATAAGATTTGCTGCCAAGATGCACAGCACAAGGACATGGATTCAGTAAGTGCTTTTTGCAACTTCACAAAATTTTGCCAATAGGCCCCAGAGACAACCGCCAACCCAATCTGCTTGCTTCTTAAAGTCCACTAGGCTAGGAAAAGTTTTCAAAGGCTTCGCCCGTGAGCAGTTGTGGAAACCGTCTAAGGAGCTGCAGAATTACCGTGGTCGGGTTGAAGATGGGAGGGTTGTCGTTGATGTCAGTGACCGTGATCACAGCTGTAGCGCTTGTGCTTAAGCCTTCACCTTGAAGGTCAGCAGCTACAACCACCAAGGTGTACGTGGGGAAACTCTGCAGAGAGGTCAAACAAACTCACATTAGGGCCAACGTCCACATCAGGCCCAGCCTAGCCTATAGTACAGAAACTGAACATTTTATCATCTGCTTAAATACAAGCCCCACCTTCCTGCCAGGCACAAAACCCCTAAACAGATGTTTAGATGCAAAGCTCAGACCATGACCATATCGGTGGTAACTAGCCTCAATAGAGTTTTGCATTATCCATGGATTGGCTAATGTGCATTAGCCCACAACACCCTTTAGTTGTCTTCCCCTCTGACCTCACGATCCAGCCCAGTAGTGAGCACGCTAATGACTCCTGTGTCCCTGTTGATGGTGAACATTTTGTCATGAGGCAGCTCAGGCTCTTGGCTGATGATGCTGTAAGCGATGGCGGCGTTGTAGGTGTTCACTTCATCATCTGCGTCGGTAGCCGAGACCTGCATCACGGAGGTTCCTGGAAGTGTGGAAGGAAAGAAAGATTCCGTCAAGCTGCACTTCAGTGTCTGGTCAGTACGCCTATGCTCAACTCTGTCCCCAATGTTAAAGACGGGGGCTCAGGGACAGTGCCTTGTCACGGCTCCTCTGATCGCTGAATTTCCAAATTTCTTTCCCAAAGTGCTATAGGAAGAAGAAAGCCTTACACCAGATGAGAGGTGTTCCGAGAACTTGACTTTTTTAACAGATATTTGGGGTGTGGGGGAGGAGAAGATGGGGAATAGATAACTTTAAACTAAAACATTTTTCCATGTCTCTCATACTGAGTGAATAGCCTGAAAAATAGGAAAAATCCCAAAGATGCCGCAATTGGCTTCTCAGCTACAGCTTCACCTGAGAGAATGGGTCATTTGAGATCACTGCTTTCTAGTAGGAAGAAAATATTTTATAACATGTGTAACTGATAAAGGACTAGTTCCCAGAACATCTACATAATTCTAAGAGTTAACAGGAAAAAAGACAAAAAGCCCCACAACTGAAAAAAGGGCAAAAGACTTGAATAGACAAAAACCCAAATGGCCGGCAAAATATAAGATGCTTAGCCCATTAATAATCAGAGAAACACAATTTTAAATTGCCTTCAGATATAATTACACATTGGCCAAAGCTAAAATGTCTAACAGTTCCAAAAGATACCTATTTCAGTACCAAAAAGAAAAAAAAAAGTCTAACAGTTCCAGGATATACATTGCTGGTGGGAGTATAAATTGGTTTGACCACCTTGGCAAACAGTTTGTCACCACGTAGAAAAGTAGGCAAAACAAGATATTATCTAGGGGTAAGGACACACATGGTAAAAATAAAAACAAGGGAATGATTACCACAAAAGTCAGGGCCGTATCTACCTCTATGGGAAAGAAAAAAATGTCATCAGGAAGGATTACACAAGGGGCTTAAACTACTAGAAAGGACCTTTTTCTTAATCAGGGGAAGTTGTTTTTAAACTGCTCTATTTTAAACGTCTCTGCAGGTAGGGTGTCACACGCATATAAGCGCACAGCACACACACAGTGGCTTCCAAAGAAGTTCTGTCCCCGTGATGGGCCTGACTCCAAACGCCAGCCCCACCACTTTGGGCTCCAAAGACTCTAAATGTCTTTCAGGGTATCCGGCTCCTCATTATTGAACATACCTGGGACAGCACCTTCCATGACAGAGCCTTTAAAGACCTCCTGGGTGAACTCCGGCCTATTGTCATTCTGATCTGTCACCGTGACCACTATCTCCATCGGGTCTTCGACTGCTTTCCCGTTTGAAGATACAGCATGAGAGAAGAGCTGCAAGAGCCACGTGAGTGTTACTTGGGCCCCAAGGAGGAACAAGAGGCGGGAGAAGTGGTCTGACCAGAGCAGAGATGGCTCCTCCTGGCTCCCCACCCCTTCTCACTCCCCCGGCCCCAGGTATATGAATGTTCACAGCAGAGACCTTTTCTCACACACGTGCTGTTGCTTCAGTAGGTCATGACACTGGTTGAGATCATGACATGTGCAAATCCATGAGCTAGAGAATGCACCCATCAGTCAGCACTCTCATTCCCCAAATAAGGGCTGAGGAGCCAGGCCTAGGAGATAAAGGTGGAAGCCAAAGACATTCTTATTCCAAGAAGGGTAAAATTTCCTCTGGCCACTCCAGTCTAGTGTTTCCCCCAGATTTTTCTGCATTTGGCATCGATGTATTTCTTCCCAGCTTCCCTAAGCTCATACTGCTACCAAGGCCTACAAATGGTTATTGTTCTCCAACGTTATCACTGGCTTCTTCCTCTGATCAGGGACTTTGAGCCCCAAGAGCAGGTTGATATCTTGGGTCTAAACTTATGCATAGTGCATAAGGACTCTCCCTGCTTTATTCCTAACAAGGAAAAAAAAAATGAAACAAACGAACAGACAAACAAATTTTTCCAGGCTCTCATTTCTCCTATCAACCAGTTGGTCAAGAGGTGTCAAATTAAGCTCCTCACACATCCAGAGCACTGGATCTAAGAATCCGACGTGGGCTGACCAAACAATTCTGGAAGGATGGGACTCCACTATCAATAAGCTTCTAAGAGGTACTCACGATGTACTGGGCAATTGCTTCTCTATCCAGAGGTTCCGTCACCTTTAGCCATCCTGTTTCTCTTTCGATAATAAACACACCAACAGGGGGCGCGTCAGCTCCTTGGCCGGTGATACTGTAGAAAACCTGTGTTTCTTTCTCCCTGTTAGATTTGATCTGGAGACAAAATAGAAAGAAACAGAATTAGCTAGGAAGGATGATTACAGTGGGTTTTCCCCTTTCTCTCTTTGGTCTTCTGCCAAATTTCTTCCAGTGAAATAGAAAGAATGTCTTTCTCTACCTGAACCAGGTTCTTAGGAAATGGGCCTTTCTGATTTTCTGGGCAGGTGATAGGAGGAATAACCCAGTCTCTCTTCTGTCTTCTGAGACCATGGTGGGAGTCAGGAAATGTGAGCACTTCTGTCTGGGTTCCAGAGAGGGAATCCTAAAAGGCGAGGAGATAAAGAACAAAATGGGATGATGCAGGAGAGGCAATACAGGCCAAATTGTCCAACCTGTCCAGTCAGCACCTCCAGCCTTCTGAGGCAGCGTGAGGTTTTAACCTAATAATAAAATAAACAGCCAAAACAATACCCGATAAACTCCTTTTCTGTATCATAAAGAAAGTGTTCCCTTCTGGTCCTTCTTAGTACCCAGGGTTCAAATAAGCATTATACATACACGATTATAGGTTTGGGGGTTTGATATTATTTTATGAGTTATTTCAAGCCCACATATCACACCCGTCATTTTTAATAGAACATTATATTCTAATGTTCTGGATATTTGAGTGTTTTAATTTTCTTTTCCTTTATGTTTTTCCTAGGGTTATAGGTCCCCAGTTAGGAATTATCAGCCAATATGAGTAAGTTTCCCAAAAATTGGTACTAAGAACTACTTTGCGATCAATACAAATCCCTTACTCTCACAGTGTCATTATAGCTATATAATTTCCATTTGTTCTAACAGAAGCCGTTGGGATAAGAACCAAAAATACCCTTTGAAATTTGTATTGAACAGTTTTCATGTGCAATAATGATAACTTTATGCACACACAGGGAAATGAGATAGTTGAAGATGGAAGGAAAAGATCTTCCAAATTGTTTAAGTGTTTTAAAGTGCTTAATGGTAAAACGGTAAAGGTATCAGAGGACATTTCCATCTCCCACCCTCTACATAGTCACTGATCGCTATTTGCCAAGTGTGATTCAAGCCCTATTTTCTGGCTTTTAAAATCTGACTCGAAATGCCCAAGACAGACATGAGATGTGACCAGATATTATCACAAAATCCTTCCTAATCCTGCATAGTGGCCACACACACACACACACACACACACACACACACACACACACACACTCTGCATCTCTGTAGTGGTCCCGCCTGGGCTGAGGGCAGGCTCTGGAGCCCACACACACACACACACACACACACAGCATCTTTGTAGTGGTCCCGCCTGGGCTGAGGGCAGGCTGCCTGGTTTTGAATCTTCACTCTGGTACCTCCGTCTTCTGGGCAGATTATTTAACTTCTCTGTACCACAGTTTCCTAATATCTAAAATGAGGATAATATTAGTGCCTATACCTCATAGAGTTCTTGGCAGGATTAAATAAGATACTAGTATTACAAATAGCATCCGAAACATAGTAAGTGCTCAGTAAATGAAGATGATGGTTGGATTGGTGGGAAAACACTGAATCGTGGTTTTAAGGAAGTCAAGTTTGAGACTTGATCCCAGCAAAGAACAAGTATTAAACCAGCCTAAAAACAATCACCTTGCACAGCCATGTGGCAAACAGGCATTGGTGAATGAATACAGATTAATTTGGCCCCCTGAAGAGGAAGACGAAGAATATGCCTTGCTGACATCGGGATTGCGGAATATTTTCAGGGAATAATAATAAATAATGATGAATATTGTGTTGGTAAAACATAACATTAACATCTTCGAGTGTGAAATTAAAGGGCATACTGAACATGAAAACATCTCTCAGAAAAAAACGATACACCAGACTTAGAAAACCCACCCAAACAAAGAGAAAGAACTGGAAAGTTAGATCTATTCTTATTTTCCTCCACCTCTATTGAGATATATTTGACAAATAAAAAGCATATCTATTTAAGGTATACAACATAATGTTTTGATATACGTATAAGACCTATTCTTTTGTGAATTAAAAGGAAGATAAGATTGTCACCCTTTTTACTAATGCAGGGTTACCTGGTTCCATGAGGGCCCCTTGAACTAGACAAAGCAAAGTGAACCTCAAACCAGCTGTAGCAGAGTTGCCACTTATCATTTGATATCCATTTGTCCTTTCTATTTAAAAATGAAACAAATTTCTCTTTCTCTCTCCCTCTCTCCCTCTCTCTCTCTCTCTCTCTCTCTCTCTCTCTCTCTCTCTCTCTCTCTCTCTCTCTCTCCATACACACACACACGCACGCACATTTCAATTTTGTAACCAGCAGTGTGCCCAAGTAAAAGACTATATTTCCTATACCACACTCACAGCTAGGGGTGGCCATGAGGCCAAGTTCTAGTCAATGAGATGTAAGCAGAAGGGTTGCTTGAGAATTCCACAAAGTCTTCTTAAAAAGGCAGCTAGACAACTAAGTGATACACTTTTGTGCTTCCTCCCTTTCTCCTTATCACCTAGAATACAGTTGTGATTACTGGAGCTTTGACAACCATATTGGATCATGAGGTATTCTTAAGGAATGAAACCATATGCTGAGGGTGATGGGGGAGGTAGATAAGGGTAAAGGGGGTCAAATGTATAGTGACAAAGAAATTTAACTTTGGGTGGTAAACAAACAATGCAACATACATATGACATTATTGAATTGTACATTTGAAACCTGTATTTTATTAACCATGTTGACCCAATAAATTAAATTTAAACATTTCTTTAAAGAAAGAAAGAAACTATGTGCAGAGGATGACAGAATGGAGAGGAAAGGAAGAACCTGGGCTTCTGACAACTGTGGGGTCTCCATCCTGGCCACAGTTCACCCTTGGATTTCCTTAACAAGAAACACTGTATTTCACATAAACCACTGTAACTTGTGGTTTTCTGTAATATATATTTGAACCTAATCACAATTCCGCAGACATGGAGGCAGAGGCAAAGTTAGCAAAGGTGGGGAGGAAAAGTTGAAAAAACAAGCTCAAAACTGTCTTTGGTCATAAAAGTCTTCCATGCATAGCTGCCCAGCAGGAACTCACCATGTTGAACTTAGATAAATGACAGAATCAACTGAAGACTTGAGTCAGGTGTTAATATAGTTCTACTAAGTTCTTCATTTTTCTGGTCTGTCCAATTACACCAGGAAGAAAAATTCAATCTACCAGGACTATTAAGTTCCCAGAATCTCAGGTGTCTTTGGGGAGAAAAACAGGAGCCAACCTGAAAGGCCTTGGCACTTAGAACCCATTCCACACTTCCAAGGCAATGGCAGGATGCAACGAGAATGGCTCCCCAGAGAGAGATTTTGGTAGGAAGCACCATGGGAGAAACATTCTTGCCAAGAACCTGGGCAGATATATATTCTTCCATCCCTGGCTGGTCCATCCATTTGTCTACTGAGTATTTACTGGCCTAGTACATGCCAGACCGAGGTCCAGGTACTGCAAATATAATGGGGAAGGATCTTGTGAAGATTAGAGTCCAATGAGGCAAAAGCTTCCCCCTGATTCTTTGGCAAAACACTCTCCACTAGAAACACGAAGAGCCAAATGATCAGACAATTGACCTCTTGTTCATTCTTCTTCCAAGAAGGGAATGATAAGAACAGTTAACAATTATCGAATATTTATTATAGGCCTAGCATAGTTCTAGCATTTCACATGTATTAATTCATGCGGTCATTATTATTTCCATTTTACAGATGAGGAAATTCAAGCATAGAGAGATTAAATAACTCCTCGAAGGTTGCTCAGGTAGTAAATGGCAGGGCTGGGATTCAATCCTACAGGGAGTCCACGCCCTTAGCCACTATTTCACACTATGCACAAATATAAAAGTAATGACATCTCGCCATCACTTCACCTCATCCTTCTCCACCAAATAACAAAAAAATCTCCAGCAAGAATCAGTTCAGTTAGATCAGTGGTTCTCAGTGAGAGGCTATTTTCCCCTCCAGGGGGCATTGGCAGTGTTTAGAGATATTTTCGAACGTCACAACTCGGGGAGTGCTACTGGCATCTAGCGGGTTAAGACCAGGGATGCCACTAAACATCACATGGCACACAGGACAGCTCCACAACAGAAAAAATTATCCAGCCCCAAATGCAAACAGTACCAACTAGAGAAACCTGGATTAGGAAGCAGACTGAAATAACAGTGAACTTTCGTGTCTATGGCCACGTTACCCTGAACAAGCCCGATCCCATCTGATCTCGGAAGCCAAGCAGGGTCGGGCCTGGTTAGTACTTGGATGGGAGACCACCTAGGAAGACCAGGTGCTGTAGGCGTAAAAAATAAAAAAAATAAAGGATTGTAAGCTGACAAGGTCCTTGCAATCGGTGAGGTCAACCAAAGGTTGCCTTGCTTTAAAAAAAAAAAAATTAATTAATTAATTAACTAATTTAAAAAAATAAATAAATAAATAAAGATAACTGCACTTTTGAGAAACATTCCAACATACATGATGACGGTGGTGGTTGTGGTGGTGGTGTTCTGCTGCCTTCAGCGTCACTTTGGTGGAGAGCTTCCTGCGGGTGGAGTCCCAGGCATGGACAAGAAAACTCATCTCAGGATTACGAAGTTGTAGAGGCCGTTTGACCTTAAGCACACCATCTGTGCCCACTTTGAATCTGGTGTCATCGGAAATAAAGACTGACCTTGGTTGACCAGTGCATCCATCAAAACTCACTGCAGGACATAAATCACAGTGATTAGGAAATTGGGCAGATTAAAAACAAGAGCATTCATTCTCTAAAAAGCAAACTGGACTCACCCATGAAAAGCCTGACACAAAAAAACAAGCACAAGTTAAACAAAACATAGTCTGGTGATAGAACAGCAAAGATATCAAAGTAGTCGATATCATCACTATGTTCTTCACAATTATAGGGAGACTGTTAATTGTGGTCTGATTATTTTCTTGTCTGCTTGTAAAGTGAAAACAGTCATCTGTCTAGGAAGTAACTTCTTCTTTTCAATAACAAAAAAGGGGCCTCTCCTTTTCAGATGGCTCTTGACAATTTGAAAACAGACCCCTAAAATAACTGAGATAGAACACCTATTGACTCTGAAGGTTTGAGAACAAGGTACAATGAGATGCTGTGCATAGACTACATTTAAACAGTTTACATTTTAAAAAATTATTTTAAAAATAAATAAATAACCCAACTAAATCTTTAAGCCTAAATAAATAGATAAATAGTTTACATTTCAATAAACAGTGGCAGATAATAAGAGAGACATAATAGTTAACAGTATGTTAACTAAGGAGTCTGGACCAGACTCCTTAGGTTCAAGTCCCAGCCGTGACTTTGGGTGTTATTTAGTATCTCAGTCTACCTACCTGTTGAAAGAAGGCAACAATAGCAACTACCTACTAGGGTTGTTTTAAGATACATAGAACAGTGCCTGGCACATAACAAATACTATATTAAAGTTTAAATACAAATTCAAAAACAAACGTAGCTTTGGGTAATCATTTATTCAGCCCCCGTGAATATTCCACAAAAGAAAATGAGAACTGTAGATTATTTAGTGAGTGTGGATTATATGCTTATTACTTGAGTCTTAGAGAGTTAATACCTGCTTGCCATCTGAGGCACAAGGAGAAACTGATCATGGTCAACTGGGGGAGATAATGAAGGTTTTATAGTACAGGAAGGCAAGACAAATGCAAAAGGCAGAGAAGGACTACTTGGGTGGAGGAATTTACGATCAATGGCTTAAAGACGAACTACTTTTTAAAAACTTTATAGTTATTAAAGTATTAAAAGTTAAAAAGTATTAATATCCAAAGCTGGAGAAGCTGTGGTGAAAAGTATCTACACTAAACATCAGAGTCCCAAAGGACTCATTCAACAGGTTTCCACCAAGCTATATGTCAGAAACTGTGCTATGCTCTAACAGACAAAACTATGAACAAGATAGACATCTGCTCTTATTGAGCTTACACTGCTGTGGAAGAGATGGACAAATACCAAAACCAAAAGTTGCAGGCCGTGATAAATGTTAGTGAATACAGAGGATAAGAGGGTAACACAAGAATGGCAGGGGGGAGTGGGAAGTTGGAGGAAAGTGTAACTTATATTGGACAGTGAAGGCAGCCTCTCTGAGGTGGACATGACAGAGCCAGCCTTGCAGAAATCTGGCTCCAGAGCTTTCCAGGAAGAGAGAACAGTAGATAAAACAGTTCATTCTGGGAAACTCTCGAGTTGGCCTGTTTTCCTCCCTTTCAAATAATTGCCCCTCATTCCTCCAGTGGAATTTCTATTTTGTACAAGTGATCTTTTATTTAAAAAATTAAAAAAAAAAAAAATCCTGCTCTTGTGCCTATTTTACACAGCCAGGCACCTCTATAGTCATGAGGATCAGGTAGGTAGGTCTCCAGAAAGCCCTAAAGCCATTTATGATGCCTGGGCTGAAGTTTTCATTTCTTCCACCAGAGGCCACCCTTGCCAATGTTTTGGAAGTCAACAGCCCCACCCTGGCCAGAGAAAATAAGATCAGGTTTGGGGGCACGAGGATAAGCACCAGGAATAACCCCATTCTGAAGATGAAGAAATGGAGACTCAAAAAGCTTAAGAAATTTGCCTAATATCCTAAAACTACTGAACAGAAGAGCTAGGACTAACCCTCAACATGAGTTACTTAAGTCTTATGGTTGTTACTCCCTCACCCTGGAGAGAACTTCTTGGGGCCTTGGCTATTTTTAAAGAATGATTTTACTCCTAGCTAGAATCCAGGGAAGGTAGCAATCTGAGGCCACCTCATGCAGTGGCAGGGAGTCTGCTACCTGGCAAATACACTGAGTAGCCAAACCAAGAAGTTTTAGTTCACAGGGAGAGAGCTGGGTCCTTTGAATAATCACTCGCCCAGCCCTCTCTCCCAGTTTGTGAAATAATCAAAACCATGCCAACATCCCTACCTTCTTCACCTTTTAGGCAGGTTCTCCAACTCCCTTCCCAAACTTGACGGGGCGAGCTGAGCAACGGAAGGCTATAACAGGAAGAGAGCGACAAGAAGAAAGAGCTAGTCTGAGTCTGTGACTGCATTAGCCACAGAGTCAGTGAGTGTGGCCTCTCTGGGCCTCAGTTCTCTCTACTAGAGCATGGAAGGCACCACCACTGATTAAGCCTACCTCTTTAGGGTTTGGTGAAGATTAACCATGACAGTGAATGTGAATCACATTTCGAAAGGAAAAGAACAATGCAAGTAGAAGGAGATTGCTATTTCTCTGCATTTGGGAGAACAAACTAGAAGTCAAGTATTTGCTAAATAAACAGATGAACCGTAAAATGACAACAGAAGCAAGGAGAGATGCGATCTTTACAGGGTTGGCAGATACTGCCCTTTAAGTCTAAAGTAGGAATTTCTTTTCAAACTAGCAAAACAAGATGTTTTTCAAATAACCCTTTCCCGGCTCACCCCAGCAGAAGGAATGGCGCAACTGGACTGCTTGGGGACTTGTCACATAAGCAGGGAACAAAAGCTGCCCTCGTTCATCCCACTGAATTCCTTTCCCCAGCCAGCCCAAATCTGGGCAATGAAAAGTTGAGGCAAGCCTGATAGGACTTGTCAAGGGTGGTAGCCTGAAAAACGAAAATGGTTTTGCAAATAACTTGACGCAAGATGTTATTTAACCTGCTTTGGGGCATCTCCTCTTGATGGTGGCTAAGCCCCACCCTTTGAGCAGTGACAGAAGAAGTGTGGCAGACAAGCAGCCCAAACTTGAATTTCTAGGTGCTGTTAAGACCCATTATCTTAAGATCCATTATCTTTCCTGGCAACCTGATCCTCTGGGCTGATAAACCAGAAATCATAGGAAAGACAGAGGGAATCTCCAGCTCAAGGAAGGTTCTGAAAAGCTTGCTTCTGCCCTAGCTGGCCAGTGTCTCAGAGCCACAGTGAATGCTAGTGCCAGCATGTGGGAGAGTAAACAAGAATGGAAAAGCTCTTGAAAGCAGAGGATTGGTACACGGGGATTGGGTATATTTGAACAGTTCCACAACAAAAAGTCAAACAAAATAAGCCCAGCAAGGAACTAAGTATTCTTTAAGTCAGCATGTCCTCCTCTTATCCTAAACCTGTTATTTGGTTATTTGGTCTAGAAATCAAATTCCAGTAACAGATAAGGGCCAAGAACCCAGTGGCCATCTCTAAATGGGAAAATCTTTTCACCACAATCTTAACATCACCATCAAAAAACTATAACCTCAACTCATAGCTTAAACTACCTTTTATTGACATTTTTCTTAATATTTTAAACATGTGTAGAACGTTATGTGTCCAGCTCTATTCTAAGCACTTTACAAACATTAACTCCTTTAATCCTAGACCTCTATTAGGTTGGTACTATCAGTGTCTTCTTTTTACAGATGGGAACATTGAGGCAGCTAGGGAGTAAGTAGCAGGGCTGGGACTGGAACCCAGGCAGGCGGAGAGTTCATGCTCCCGACCATTCTTCCTCAGGCCTCTCTCTATAAGCCAGAACCTTGCACTGTGCTCCTTATGTCCAATTTTCTGATTCACCCCAACTCCCCACCCTTTGGAGTAGGCATCACCATCCCCATTTCCTTTGCTCTAATTTATATGCTGGTCTGTGGAGGGGCTGAGCTTTCTGGCCCCAAAGGGAGTGCTCTTTATCACTGTTCCCATACGCAACATGGGGATATGCTTTCCAGAAATGAAAAAAAGGAACACTTAAGGGGGAGGGGGGCTGAAAAAGACATTTAAGAACAATATGGAATTCTAAACACCAGGCAAAACAGCAATTTGGGCGGAGGTGGAGGAAGGAAGATTGAAAGAATTATGGTTGAAGTAGGAGTAGGAGGCAGTTCAGTTTTCATTAAATATATTTTTCGTATACATCTTTGTATTACATCGAATGTTACAATTACAGCGAATTACTTTTTAAAACAACAAAAATAAGGATAACTTTTTTTTAAAGTATCGTTAATACATTGTGATTTTGCACATAATTCATCCAACATTTTCTAGCTTATTTGGTAGAATTAGTGGCTTTAATCAGAGAACCCTGAAAGAGATGGCTGAAATTCAAATACAAACTCACGTTCATAAAAAGCTCCGGGTCCTGGGGCAGGTTCTGAGCACTCAGCAGCATTCTTTGCTCAGAATTGCCGTCATGCCATGGAACAGTCCGGCTCTAAGGCTTCTCTTCCCACCCCCGCCCGGCCCCATAACTGGAATGTGAGTGGGTAAGAACGGGACAGTCTCAAAAGCCTTTATATATTTCCAGGAGATGTCGAGATTTAAGGACAGGGGCCTGCTATCAAAGCCAGCTCACCATAGTTGAGTTATTTGGCAACTAGCTGGATAACGCAGTCTCTTAGAAGCAACTACTTGAAAGCAGTGTCTTCCCCACACTACACACAAAGGCATGCATTATGGATTGTTCCCTCTCATCAGAACGCACTTCCCACAGCTAACAGCTAACGCCAAAGAGCACAGCATATAGCTTTATTTTAAGGACCATTTGAACTTGAGCGCTCAGCCTCAGGAAGAAAAAGTCACACACGCAACCTCGAGGGCCAGATCAGAGAGCCTTCTGAGGCTCCTGGGGCTTACGCTGCCATTGTGTATCCTCCAAACCAAGGGCTTCGGCTTCCAATTTAAATAATGAAAAGGCAAAAAGTATAACTTGATGGACAAAAGGAATCCTGGGAAGACAG